TCCATGGTACTTTTAATATTCTCTCAAAATACGATAACTCAAATGCATCAGTTGTTCTGTGGTCCTCCTTATTTACTGGCCAAGTTTCACATGCATATGAAGTTATTGAAAATACATGAGTCATTGAGTAATAGTGGTATTAACTGCTCCTCCTTGTTGTTGTTATGTGCCGTGGAGTCAGTTCTGACTCATATGACCCTCTACAGGGTTTCCGAGGCTGTAAATCTTTACAGGAGCAGAAAGCCTCATCTTTCTCCTGTGAAACAGCTGGTAGTTTCGAACTAGCTGACCTTGAGTTTAGCAGCCCAACTCATAACCACTACGCTACCAGAGCCCTGCTCCTCCTTGTAAGCATATGTATGTTATCATTTCACAGATGGCATTGAACTTCAAGTTGTGTCTTGAAATTATCTTTTTGACCATGAATGTGACACCATACCTCTTGAGTTTGTTTTTCCTGGCATAGTAAACCATATGATTGTCAGATTCAGAATGGTCAGTGCCAGTCCATTTCAGCTTACTAATGCCTAAGATATTGATCTTTACACATTCTGTTTCATTTTTGACAATTTCCAATTTTCTTAGATTCCTGTTTTGTACATTTCATGTTACAAGTATTAATGGATGTTGACAACTTTTGCTCCATCAGCAAATTAGGGTTTAAAAAGCTTTACTGTATTCACGTCATCATGGTCAACTCTACTCTGAGGAAACAGCACTTCCCTAGTTGTGTATTGAGTGCCTTCCAACCTGAGGAGCTCATCTTCCGGCACTGTATCTGATAGGGTTCTGTTTCTATTTATGATGTTTTCATCTTCTGATACTGTACCTGATAATGTTCATAAGATTTTCAATGACTAACCTTTCAGAAGCAGTCTGCTTCTCATTCTTCCTAGGCTGTCTTAGTCTGGAAGCTCAGCTGAAACCTGTCCACCATGGGTGACCCTGTTGGTACTTAAAACACCAGTGGCATTGCTTCCAGCATTACAGCAACTCACAAGCCACCACAGTATGACAAACTGACAGATGGTGGTTTCTCTGTTTATTATGATGTTAGTTATTAGTCAAGTTGTGAAGATTTTAATTTTCTTTATATTGAGGTGCAATCCATACTGAAGACTTTACTCTTTGGTCTTCATCAGTATGTATTTTAAGTCTGCCTTGCTTTCAGCAAGCAAGATTGTGTCATCTGCATGTTGCAGGTGAGTAGTGAGTCTTCCACCAATCCTGATGCCACATTCTTCTTCATATAATCTAGTTTCTCAGATTCTATGCTCAGCATAGAGATTGAATAAGCATGGTGAAATTATACTACACTGGTCCACATCTTTCCTGATTTAAACCCTTCAGTATCCTCTTGTTCTGCTGTTCATGGACCTCTTGGTGTGTGTATAGGTTTCTCATGAGCACAATTAATTCTTGAATATCCATTCTTTGCAATGTTATCTATAGTTTGTCATGATCCACACAGTTGAAATCCTTTGCATAGTTAATGAAGCACAAGGAAACATATTTCAGGTATTTTCTGCTTTCAGCCAAGATATTGATATCTTGATATCCCTCGTTCCACATCTTCTTCAGAATCTGGCTTGAATTTCTGGCAGCTCCCTGTTGATGTATTGCTGCAATTGTTTTTTTAATTATCTTCTGCCAAATTTTGCTTGCATTTGATATTGATGATACTATTCGATGATTTCCTCAGTCTGTTGGGTCACCTTTCTTTGGAATAGGCATAGATATGGATCTCTTCCACTCAGTTGGCCAGGTAGATATCTTCCAAATTTCTTACATAGATGAGTGCACACCTCTATTGCTGCATCTCTTTGTTGAAAGATTTCAATCTGTATTCAGTCAATACCTGGATCCATGTTTTTCACCAGTGCTTTTAATGCAACTTGGACTTCTTCCTTAATACCATCATCAGTGCTTGCTCATATGTTGCCTCTTGAAATTATTGAACATTGACCATTTCTTTTTGAACAGTGATTCTATATAAACCGTCCATCTTTTTTTTTTTTTTTATGCTTTGTACATCATTCAATATTTTGCCCATGGAATCCTTCAATATTGCAAGTCAGGGCTTAAGTTTTGTCTTCAGTTCATGCAGTTTGAGAAATGCTGAGTATGCTTTTCCCTTTTGGCTTTTTAAGTCCAGGTCTTTATACATTTTACTATAATGCTTGACTTTGTCTCCTCAAACTACCCTTCATAATTTTATGTTCAGCTCTTTTACTTCTTCATTTCTTCCATTTTTTTTCAGCTTTGTCTATGCTCTTAAGCAAGTTTCAGAGTCTCTTCTGATACCCATTTTTTGTCTGGATGTCAGAAGAGACTCTGAAACTTGCTCTAGAGTTTTAAATGACCTTTAGCTTTCTCTTCTTATATGATATTCTTGATATCATTCCTCAACTTTTCTGGCTTTCAGTTATTAGTGTCTAATGCATCAAATATGTTCTTGAGATGGTGTCCACATTCAGGTGGGATATATTTCAATTTCTAGCATCATTTATACCACTAAGGCCATATATTCCTACTACTGATCCTTCCTCTTATATCCAACTTTCACATTCCAATCATCAGTAATTATCCATGCATCTTGATTACATGTTTGATCAAATTCTGACTGAAGAATTTGGTAGAAATCTTCAATTTCATCCTCACTGGTTTTAGTGGTTAGTGTGTAAATTTGAATAATAGTGGTATTAACTGGTCTTCCTTATAGGCATTTGGATATTGTTCTGTCACAGGCAACATTGCACCGTAAATCTTGAAATGTTCTTTTTGGCAGTGAATGCAATGCCAATCTTCTTCAATTTGACATTCCTGGCACAATAAATTGTATGATTGTCAGATTCAAAAAGTACCAGTCCATATCAGGTCACTAATGCCTAGGAAATCGATCTTTATAGATCCCATCTCATTTTTGACAACTTCCAATTTTCCTAGATTCATACTTCATGCAATTCATGTTCCGATTATTGTGGATGTTTACAGTTGTTTCTCCTCATTTTGAATTGTGCTCAATCAGCAAATGTAGGTCTTAAAACCTTTGTTCCATTATTGTCATTATGGTCAGCTCTACTCTGAGGACAGATAGCTCTTCCCCAGTCATGTTTTGAGTGCCTTCCGACCTGAAGGGCTCATCTTCTGACACTGTATCTAACAATTTCCCATTACTATTCGTAATATTTTCATCTTCTGACACTTTATCTTAAATTTTTCTGCTGCTATTCAGGTTTTCAGTGCCTAACCATTCAGAAGTAGTCAGCCTCTCCTTCTTCCTAGTCTGTCTTAGTCTGGAAGCTCTGCTGTCACATATCCACCATGGGTGACTCTACTAGTATTTAAAATACCTATGGCATCGCTTCTAGCATCACAGTAACACACAAGCCACCACAGTATGACAAACTGACAGACGAATGGTAGAGATTATTATATAGAAGGAATAAATATGTGGGTTATACTAGAATTTAAATTTCTTTAGCACAGGGACTCTATTTTATACTTCTTTGCATTTCCTACAGTACTTAGCCACTAATGTATATGTAGTACTTTGAAACTTTTTTACTTGAGTAAGTTGAATGAACCAAGGGCCCCTTGTTTCTTCTCTCCTGAAAGGTACTGATAAAGTCAGACAGCCCAACAGGTGATGTCTTACTAGATGAAACACTCAAGCACATTAAAGCAACTGAACCCACAGAAACTGTCCAGACATGGATAGAGCTACTCACTGGTAAGATGATTCAAAATATATCCCATATTTTTTTATCTTGAGCCTGTTGGTAAAGTTGGGAAAATAAGGACAGATGTGCAGGATGCTGATTCATGTGTAAGATTCATGTGGTCTATCATTTAACTGCTATAAGGTTGGAATTGATTCAATGACAGTGGGTTTAATGAGAAATTAAAAAAGAAAAAAGCATGCTTAATGAGTACCTAAAGTTTTCCATAGGCTAATTTTTAGAAGTAGATTGCCAGACGTTTTTTTCTTAAGTCTTTTTCAGGAAGCTTAACTGAAACCTGTCCACCATCATGGATAACCTTTCTGGTATTTGATATACCAGTTCTATAGCTTCCAACATCATAGCAACATGTAAGTCACTACAGTTTGACAAACTGATAGGCTGAAGTGATAGAGGCACAAATCAGGCAATGACTTGGGCAGTGTTTTAGTCTTGTTATACATAAGTTCACACCATAGGTTGGAGCCAACAGGATAGCAACTAACAACAACAATAAAGTTTTTCAAAGCTTTGTTTTACCTTTTTCCTATACACTAAGCAGTATTCTTCACATGAAACTTCTGAACATCTTTATTGAGCTATAACTCACTTCATATGCCCATTTAATTTTAATATGTTCACAAAACTGTACAACCATCAAAACAGTATTAAGTTTAGAACATTTCCATCATTCCAAAAAGAAACATGTACCCATTATTAGTCACTTTGACTTTCCCCAACCTTCTTCTTCAACTCTAGGGAACATTTAGTCAGCTTTCTTTTTCTATAGATTGGCCTTGTCTGTATATTTCATATAAATGGAATCCTTAATGGCTTTCTTCTTTTCTTTAGCATATGCTTTCACATCCCTATTGTAGCATGTATTTCATTATTTTTTTCTGTTTATAAAAATTCTAACACAAGTAACTAGATGTATAACATACAATTTTAATGAGATTCTTCTAGAGGTCACCTTAAAGTCACAGCCAATGTCACCCTCTGAAATAGTTTTGTTTTTAATTGAAATTCTTTGAGATAATTGTAGATTAGCATTCAATTATAGGAGATAATACTCTAGGATCCACTTATTTTTGCCTCCACACAATCACTGTGAGAACAGGGATTATTTCCCAAAGTGGTTGCATCATTTTCCTTTCCCATCAGCAATGTATGAAAGTTAAATTTCTCCCCATCCTTACCTACACTTGCTATTGTCTGTCTTTTGTATTTTAGTCATCCTGCCATTGTTATGTAAGGCCATACTGGCTCTGACTCATAGTGACCTTATGTATAACAGAACAAAATGTTGCCGACTTCTGCACCATGACAAGCCCATTGTTGTAGCCACTGTCCCAATCTATCTTACTAAAGGTCTCCCTCTTTTTTACATACCTACTACTACTCTCTCCAGCACCTGGTCCCTCTTGATGACGTGTCCAGTTAGAATACAAATGTTAGCCATCCTAGCGTATAGGAAGTGGTTTTGATTGCCTTCCTAAAGACTAATGACATTGATTCCTGTGTATTCCATCCAGTAAAATCCACGTGTATGGTCACTTTATATTGTTGAAAAGACATAGGTTATATTATATTATTTACAAAGACTAGATCATTGGTCTTGCAAAATTCTACCATCCAATTTCTGGAGTTGTTTCTATCACCAAGGCTATCTTTTCTAGCTACCAACCTTTCCTCTTTGTTTTCAACTTTCACTTTCCAATACCATTCATTTTCATTGCATCTTGATCGAATGTTTTATTAATTTTAGGCTGTAGAAGTTGGTAAAAATCTTTAATTTCTTCATCTTTGACATTAGTGATGTGTGTGTACACTTAAATAATAATCATATTAACCGCTCTTTATTATTGTTGTTCTTGTTGTTAAGTGGTATAGAGTCGTTTCTGACTCATAGCAATCCTGTACAGGGTTTCCCAGAAGTGGCAGGTGGGCTTGAACTACTGACCTTGTGGTTAGCAGTCAATTGCTTATCCTACAGTGTCACACCAGGTACAGATATTATACTGTCACTAACAGTGCTGTACTTCAAGAGAGATTTTGAATTGTTCTTTTGAAAATGACTGCAACATATTCCTCTTCGTTTTGTCATAATAGACCTGTGATTCAGAATGGTCAATACCAGTCCATTCCAGCTCATTGATGCCTGTTGTTGTTGTTGTTAGGTGCCATCGAGTCAGTACCGACTCATAGCGACCTTATGCACAGCAGAACAAAACACTGCCCAATCCTGGGCCAACCTCACTACTGTTGCCAC